TCTAAATTAAATGGAACACCATTCCAAATTGGATTTGGAAATCTCTTCTCGACTATCTCAGACTGTCCTTCCCCGATCCGAAAAATTAATAGAAAATGAATATGGTAATTTGTTAACTTCTTTTAATTATAATTTTTATGAGATTCCCAAATTGGAGAAGAATGGGTGATCACCATCTCGAAAAGGTGTGTCGAATCAATTTGAGACGATTTGAAAAATCATTTGTGTTTTGTGATTTGTTGTAATTTGTCAAATTTAGATTTTTGTGATATATTATGGAACTTGTACCTACACATGATGCTCTCTGTTTGTTGTCTCGATTCTTTAGCAACTTAGAATAAACCATATTTCAAAAACATGAAATTTTGAAATTAAGAAAAAACATTAGATGTACAAAAAGTAAAAGAAACTTAACAGATGTTGTATTATTAGAGGTCTCTTAACTGATTTAAATGAACTGACTTTGATATTTTAAAATGCTTAGTGAATCCACCATCTTTTTTTGTGTGCATTGTTGGGCCGCATTTGTAATGAATACATATGCCCTTAAAGAAAGGCCGTGAACAAGAACTCCCTAGGAAGCGAGACCTTGGAATGAATACATATGCCCTACCCCAAATATCACGTAATTAGTTATGAATATTTTTCTCTTTCTACTCTGACTCAAATATCATTACTTAATAATTGAAGTTTTTATATTAATAATCCATAATAAAGTTAGAAATGTAAGATTAGATGTGGGATATGTATGATTTTAAAAAAGCTCAAATTTTGTTTGGCGTGTAGTTAACGTATGTTGATTAAGATGGTTAATAAGTTTAACCAATTAATCTCGTAACGTTGGAACTTCTGATCTATAGGTCCATTAGATCCCCTTGCTAATTCGTAAAACGTAATTAAGAACATTAATTTTTGAAGAAATTTGAATTGTTCAAATTTAATTAAAGGGAATTTGAGTTAACTGTGTATGACAGTGTATGATGATACATTATCATAAAACTATATATTATGAGAGAGTACGATGAATTATATTCATATTAGAACTATAGGTTAAATTTTAATGTGAATTGGATTTATATTAAATACTATAGATTATGAGGGATAGGTATATTTGAATATGATTCAAATATTAATTAATTTAATTAAATGTTATTAATTAAATTATGTTTATTTAATTAATTAATTAAATAATATCTAATTAAATTAAAATATGTTTTAATTTAATTAATTATTAAATTTATTTATTAAATTGAATATAAATAAATAAATAGGTATATATATATACCATAATTAATAAACTCACCACTTTCCCACCAATTTTCCTGGGAAAGTGGTGAGTTCTTCCCCTCTCCCTCTTCCCTCATCCTTTATAAAAACAAAAGGAATTTCCTGTTTTTTGGTTAATCATCTCATCAAGAACAAGATCTCTCTTTTACGATCTCAAATTTAATTCCTTGAGTTTTTCTCTCCAAGAACCTAGATCCCACAATCCGGTTCTTAAATGCTTGAGGATAGCAATGTTACTAAGTGGTGGTATTCAATCACGCATACGAGAACATTTGTTCGTGTCAAACCAAAACTGGGTTCGAGGAAGAAGTTTTTTATCAACCATCTACAAATGTAAGTTGTTTTCTTCCTCCCAATAGGCTTAACCTCTTCTTTAATAGAAATGTTCTGTTTTTATAAAATCGATATCGTTCCATTTCGAAAATCGAATTGAATCACAAGCGATAAATCACTTCCGCTGGGGATTTGATCCCTTCAAACATAACTAGAATTCTCGAAAGAATAACGAATTGACATCCTTAAAACATCATTTAACATGAAACTTAAACAAACCAACCTATGAATCAAATAACATAGTCAAACTAAAAAGAAACAACTCCAACTTTCCTATTCAAAATAAAAATCAATACTACAGCGCTAAATATGGTCTCTCTGGTCAAGTCTCCTCCTCGCCATCACCATTCCCGCGAGTTACCTCGTTACCTACAAGATATTGAGGGAAAAGGGGAGCGGAGTGAATACTAACAACCAGTACTCAGTAAGCA